TTGTGTATCTTACATTTTTAGCTTGCATTTTTTAAACCCGTGCAGGGTATTATATATTCAGTCAGGAGCTTCTAAAGTTGTGAAGCAGTAATTCCCGACACTATAAACCATATTTATTCTTGATCAGCATTAAAAGCCGAATCGATCTAGCTATGTCCGACCAAAATCTATTCTTTTTCAAAATATTCAAAAATTTCAAATTTTTATAAGGGGTTACATCATTAAAATTGTCAAAAATTGGCAAAATTTTTAACTTACTAAAATGTTAAATTGAGTTTGCAGATTTATTGATCTAATAAAAACTAGCATAGGAAAGCTTTCCGAATTGAAATTAATGAATTTTTGACCTAGTTATGAGTTTCTTAAATACCTATAAATGAGAAAGAATGAGAATATTTTAAGCTTAGTAATGATGGATTTTCCATTCGATCCTATATTTCCTTTGAAAACTGAAATGGTAAATAAACTTTAGCTTCCCCAACTTAGTTTCCTTTTTGGTTTTATATAAAGTATCAGTAACATTTGAGTGGTGATAGTTTTCCCGTTGGAGAAAGGGTATTTACAGCTTCGTTGCTCTGCATCTCCTCCTCCTCTTTTGGCATGGTGCTCTTTGTGACTCTGGCTCTCTGATCTAAGTTCGCACAGGTGGCACTTGGTATGGAGATACCGGAGCAGGAGCAGGAGCAGGAGGAGGAGGAGGAACTCCAGTGGTCGTGTCCTCTTACGAGCTTTGCCCTCGTTAGCTCAGCACGTTGCTGTTGCAGCTAGCCGGATATCTATATATAGCCAACTGGTGTGATTTTGATTCATGGCGCGATTATATGTGCGCACGCAGTTTATCTTCTTTTCTTTTTTCCGCTCCTTTTTTTTGAAAACGTTTTTTTTTTAGTAAGCAGCAACACAGTAGCCTGGGCCCAGCGTGAAGGCCTGAAATCCGAACACTTTCTGGAGGAGTCCGCGTCGGGTGTCCTGTCCGCTTACCCCTGCCTTGTGGCACTTAACATTTTATTGTTAATAAAATATATTACAAGGCGCAATACAAAAGGCCAACCAGCCAGCAGCCAGCAGCCAGCAGCCGGCCTCTTGTGGCTTTCAGGCCCAAATGCGTTAACGAAATCATCTGCCTCCTCTTGGCCGAAAGGCCCCGCCATTCCGCTCCTGGGAATGTCGCGTGAGTTCGTGTCGTACATTTAACGCGTGACTTCTTTTGAAAATTGTTCATAAATTTCGCGTTTAACAGTAGCAGAAAGGCAACGGCAAAAAAATGACCACAAAAGTCTGGCCAATACAAGACCGTTGAAGGCTGGGGCCAAGGAATTGGGTAACTGAAATGATTGCAAATCTGTATTCTGCAGGAATATGTAGATACTCTGCAAATACCAAATCTAATTTATATGTTTAATTGTTTATATTTTTATATACAATAAAGTTAAGAAAGAGAATAAATCTAGAGACTTTGAAAGAATAGTTGCATTGTATTTAATTACTTACCATTTACAGTATATTTTTTAAAGCGTTATATACAATTTAAAATCACCTGACAGCTTCCAAGAATAATTCAGTCAGAAGACTCTCTTAACCAGGGCAAAGGGAATCCCCATTTCGATACGGATTGTTTTGGGATCCTCTGGATCGTAATTTTGTGGACCTCAACGAAAATGATTTCACAAATCCGACAGATGCAGCGACCACGGACCATGGCGACAGATACACTGTGAGAAGGTAGAGGGTTGGGGAAATGAAATGAATTACAGATCATCCCGCTCATCATACCCCCCACTGCCCCCCTGCCATTCGCTCATTATAATGCAAATGCAATATATAGACTCATAAATTTATGCGACCATTCGAGTATTTCTAATTAATAACACACAAAATGTAATCAGCAATGTTAATTAGGCACATCCGCTGCTCGGCTCATTCAGCGTTGTCACCTCCACTCCGCCGCGATTCGGCGGCCCCAGGTTTTTTCATTCATAAAAATCTGACTGAGACTCTGTCACAGTTTTCGCTCCGGCTGACTGCTGCCCACATGGCAAACTGTGTTAGCTGGATTTGCATAGCCCGTAAGCCAAGTCAAGTGATCATGGCTGCTGCTGCTGCTGTAGTAAAAAGACACAAAATCGTTAAAGATTTCGTTTGCTTGTTTTCGATCATTCAAAAAATTGTTGCAAAGAGAATTGCCAAACCGGTTTGTCGGTTATGAAACTGTCTGTTTCTGCTTCATTTTATCGGTTTTTGGGTTTTTCGGACTGAGTCTTGGTGTTTTTATGAATGAAAGAGTGTAAAATTTGCATTTGAAACACGTGAAGTACCTCTCAATATTACTCATACGCCCCATTGAACCAAAGGAGAGGAAGCGCGATTTAGTTCCGCCAATATGTAGATGTTTGCGGGAAAAAGCTGATTCTATTATGAATCAACATTTCACTGACAGGTGCGCCAAACTGAATCATCTTTGCACAAACAACTCTGCTAATTCAAATAAGCAAAATGAATTATTATTAATTTATTACTTCCGGTGCTCGTTGAGTTCAAGTTGCTGCCGAGCTCAAAACAAATTCCAGGTGATCTATCGGAATGACAATATATCTAATGTTCTAAACACTTGTCAAATACCACTCTCTGTTTGTTCCATTCAGTGAATTTGTGTGCCCACAAAAGGTGCCAATTATGTCGGTGCCGAAATGATACCTCAACTGGCCCAATCGCTGTGCCGCCTGCCTTTCCAAACAAAAAGCCCCAAGACGAGGTCAAACTCAAGCTGTGCAATCGACCAACTGACTGAATGACTGACTGACGGCCACGATCTGGACGATCGACGGCAGACAGGCAATTTGTAGACTTTTCAAATAGTTTCAAATGGAGCCCAGTCAGTCCGCCAGCAGGCACTCGAGCAGACAACCTGTACGCTGTCCAATCGACCACATTGAACACAACAATAAAGGAGTTTGATTTCAATGAAACGAAGTCTTCTATACTCTTGCCAGGATATTTCTTACCAGGATTTGTTAAAATCTTTAAGCTATTTAAATTAACAAGCAAATGAAAGTAGCTTGTTGTTGCATTAGTAAGATCAAATGCTATACCTTAAAGTATATTTTTAAGTCTATCCTTTTAGAATTTAATGAGTGAGACCACACAGAATTTTTCAAATCATAAACTAATGAAAAAATATATAAATTCTTATTTATCTATTAAAATACTTAATGAAATGTTTAAGTAGAAACCTCTAAGTCCAATACTTGTGATATCCCCCACTTGAAAGGGTATACCTAAATAGCGCATGCAAATTAATAGCCAACTTTGGCCAAAAATTAATTGATCACTCGAGACAGGCAACATTGCAGAGATTGCGGGACCAGACTTATACATAGACCCGCCGATCGATCGATGGCCGGCTGATCGCTGCGAATTATGCCCGGGCCGGTGTGTGTAAGTGCCCGCATATTCGAGCTGATCACAGACTTCCTGAGGTAGCCGAGGCTCGATTAAGCCGGTGAAATGTTTTTTTCATGGCTTCATGAACAAATTTCAATTAACATATTCACGCAATAATTGCAGGGGTCCCTCTGCCCACGTCGCTTGCGGTCAGCACATCGAAGAGAAGGCGGCCCACGCTTCAATCCCCACCAGACACGTGTCAAACTTCCGATCATTAGGTGGATGCAGTCGCTCATCGCACCACGCCCACTTGCCGATCCAGAGGGGCCCTAATTAATAAACAGACAAAACAATTTTAGGACCCATCATAGAAAATCACTCGAATTGATAAATTATCGAAAAAGGCAGTTTAGCGTGTGCCTTAAACAAAAAGATATTGAGATTAATCATTGGACCAGGCGGCGGCAACTCGTCATCATCCAAACCGATGCGTTGGCGATCTTCTATGGTAATGCCGCATAATTAATGATTGCCACGGATGGAAAGCGATGGAAATGTTGTCGTATAATCCAGTAGGTCATTGGGAAATGGATGTTAGACAAACAAAAACGTAGCCGATGGAAAATATTTGACAATTTGATACGGTAGAGTTGGCTTCAAGAATTTATTGCTCGTTCTCTAAACAATATCAAAATGTGCCTTCATTAAGAAAGCTAAGAAAACAACAATTAATTAATCGTAATTCGTATTGCATGCTTTTTGAGGTATGTGCAGGGATGCCTAAGTAATTGGTAGGCAATATAAAACAATCAATGAGCAATTAATAAATATTCAAGTACATATAATAAAAATAAATACGATTTGTATCTGCAACATGGCTCACAATCAATTGAACAGTTCATAAAGACCCAAAGCCAATATTAATTCATACTTCTGTTGACTTCCACACCCACCTTAAGTCATGACAATTATTGTTGATCTCTGGCTTAGACCGGCTAATAATCAAGACACAATTTTTTAATTTAAATTTGCCCCAGTATCCATATCCCACAACTATCGCGAACAATGTTGCAAGATCACTTGGATCGCATGGATAGCTGGGACCCCGGCCCACAGATGTAAGTCGGCCAACTTTTGGCCCCTGGCGGACTACTCATTGCAAATACCCCTGGACGGCGGACACTCCACAAATCTCCCGCAATTACAATACTTTATAAACTTATTTTTCTTCTGCCATTTCGGGCCTTGTATTATCGTCTAATTGCATCGCCGACGCTCATGGCATTTAGCGCGTCAACAAACGAGCCGCCGCCAACGCCGCGACCCCAACCCCAGTCCCAGTCCCAGCCTCCTAATCCTCTCACACCTCTCGGCAGCGGTTCAAAGATGAAAAATATATACATAGATATATATATATATACATATATATAAAGAAGGAAAAAACAACAACAACAACAGAGTGGACCGCAGGCCTTTCCATTCATCATTTTTCGTTTAGTGACGCGCGTGCCTCGTGCGCCTCAAATCGAGTGTTATTTTTTTCACAGATTTTCAAATTGAGACGTCATGATCTCGTCGCATTTCCCGGCCCCCCTCGATTATGGTTATGGATGTGATTTTTGGGATATATACGTACAACATTTATTGTTTCATAAGGCACTGCGGGCATGCAACTAACTGTAGGATAGAACATTGTTGTGCTTACAAACTACGAGTATAATTTAGCGAGTATAAAACTGCGAATACTACAAAGATCAGTACAATAAGAAATACAACAGAAATACAACCGAGTCTTAATCGAAGCTTAACTTTAAATACAGTAATCTCTTAGGTATAGACTATAAGATATTTTAAATAGAACATAACGTATGGATACATTCGATCTGCTCCTAGTTTTTGGTTTTACGCCTTTGGTGCAATTTTGGTGCGACTTTTAAGAGATTTACAGACTTATTCGAGAGCTATATATACACAGAATATTCTAGCTTAAATTCGATATTTCTTAGTTTTTAAATTATTTAAATTTTGTAAAGGTTAAACCATATTTTGATACTCTCATTCCTATCCATGAATCATTAAATAACAAACTTGAAAGATAAAATTTTGGAGTGTCCTAAATCCTACAAAAGCGTTCGATGATCGTTCGGTGACTAAATTTATACTTTGTGATCAAATTTCTGCGCCACTCGGATTAATTTTTTTATCCAAACCTAGATTTCAGCTTAAGTCAAATCTTTTCATTTAGTTATTGATTGCATCTGGTGGGGAGGGTGTCGAAAGTAGCCATATTTCTTAGTAATTAGAATATGTAATCAGTAATTACACCACTTTTGCAGATTGTCCGTTTCATCTTCCTCCTCGTCGCTCGTCGAAGGCGGCGTATCCAGATTGGCTATATCCACATCCAGATAATCCTCCTTCGCCTGCAGCAGCTTATCCATATACTCTACGATCTCCGTGAAGGGTGGCCGATCGTCGGCATTGAAGTGCCAACACTGTCGCATGAGAATGTAGATGTTCATGGAGCACTTGGCTGGCTTTTCCATCCGCTGACCCGACATCAGATAGCTGTAGAGCTCCTCTGCCGACAAAATTGTGGGATACGGTTGCTGTCCGTAGGTCATGATCTCCCAGAGGAGAATGCCATACGACCAGACATCGCTCTTCGAGTCGTAGAATTTCTCCTGGAGGGATTCTGGAGCCATCCATTTAATGGGTAGCCTTCCGTTCGTGTTCTTCCTGTAGTAATCTGTGCTCTGGATATCCCTTGCCAGGCCAAAATCGGCAATTTTCAGCACGTAATCATCGCTTACGAGCACATTCCTGGCAGCCAAATCTCTGTGAATGCACCTGCGCGAGGCCAGATAATCCATTCCCCGGGCAATTTGGTGGGCAAACTTGATCAGATCCTTCTCGGTAATCAGGTGGGCTGGCGGCGATGGCGGCGGCTGAGAGCTATCTCTGTCCTGGTCCCTGCCATAGGGTCGATTCGAGTACAGGAAGTCCTTGAGATTGCCATGGGGAGCGTATTCGACGATTACATAAAGCGGTCCACTTTGACTGCAGCATCCCAGCAGATTGATGATGTTAATGTGACGTCCAATGATCTTCATCACCTCCATTTCCCGCACCAAACTGGCTATGTCGTCGTCCGTGTGACCTTCCTTGACCATTTTAACAGCCACAATGGCATTGTTCACCTCCGCCATGACCACTCTGCCAAAGGCACCCTCTCCCAAGGTGGCTCCTAGGACGAGCTGATTTCGTGGCAATTCCCAGTTCGAATCCAGCGGGAATTCATACTCATTAAACGGAGCCGGTTCGTTGCCACTCTGCAGGACGGTTGTTCGCTGCTTTTGGATCCTTACCACGGGCATAATCATGGTGTCCATGGAACCGCTGGAGTCGCCACCACCCTCGGGCTTGAAGATGATCACTTTCTTGGTCCACTGATGGACGGTTTCTATTCGTTGCTTCAACAGTTTCTCGTGCTTCATTTTACGCACTGCATAAAAGACAAACGAGGTGCACATAATGATGAATAGTAATCCTCCAAAGACAAAGAAGTACATTAGATTGGTGCGCTCCATTCCGCTGGCCACTCCAGCCTCCAGAAGATGCAGGCTTCGCACCACTCGCAGGTAAGCAGTACTATTGGTCTGCCCCAAGCTGTTGCTCTCGATGCAGGTGTACCAACCTTCCTGCTCCCGCGTTACATTCACAAATTCCAGCCTATCCTGGTCGTAGCCCATGACGGTGCGATTGTTGGAGCAGTTGGTCATTCCCTGACAGGGCACAAAGATCCAGGCCTTCTTGCTGGTCAGATCCGAGAGGTACTTGCAGTACATGTGGCCACTGCCATTGATTACCAGGGTGAGATTCGCTGGGGCATTTATTAGGATAGGTCGATGGTTCACCCGATCGCTTACAATCACTTGAGTGTCATGCCGGATGCAGCCCAGAGGATTGCACGCCTTGCAGGTATAGTTACCGGAGTCATCCGGCACCAGATCCTCCATGGTTTGAGTCCATCGATTCCTCTTGATGTTGCCATAACTCCGGCTCCATTCGCTAGTGCCATTCCGGTACCAGGTGATGTTCGGTTCCGGATTGCCCAAGGCGTGACAGGTTAGTAAAAGCAGGGAACCCGAGGGTCGTGTCTGCAAGGAGCTCATCTTCTTGGGATACCGCCAGTAGGGTTTCGTGTTAGCACTCTCCGGCACATCGGGCTTATTGTCATCATCATCTCCAGCTCCATCATTCAAATCCGTTGTTGTGCTACTGCTGTTAGCGTTACTTGTTAACGTCGAAGTTTTGTTTATTTTTGCGGCCAAATTATCGTAATCCTTGGACACTTCCTGGCTATTGGCAATTTGACGACGACCTGCCACTGGCACCGAATGTTGCCACAACACCAGCAGCATAAGCATCACCAATAGCGATCCGTTCAACATTATGAGTGGTGAGTGACTGCGTCTGCGACAGAGACTGCTGTGGCAGCTCCAGGCAGCAGCCATTTTGAGGATATTTATTTTTGTAACTCTTGCCAGAGGGGCAGCACAGGCACCCTAAAAGTGCCACTTCTCAGTGCAAACGCAACTGCAACTGCAACTGCAACTCCCTTGTTGGAGTTGGAGTTTTGTCGCATGTGCTGCTGTCGGTTTTTTATTCACCGGAAATCCACTTTAGAGTGCTCCGCTCTATGTACTCTGTATCGCGTTCTCTCCCTCTCACAGCGGAAGAAGATCGGTGATCTTCTAGTTTCTAATTTATGATGGAAACAACAACAGTTGCCTCTTTAGCACAACATGTGTGTGTGTATGTGCCTTTGAAGTGATCCTCTTCCACTCCAATTCACTTTGCCGGCGATTGCAATCGGATGCCGATGATGCTGATGCTGATGCTGATGATCCTCCGGATGATCACCTATCTTGTTTGGTGCAACGGAAATACTTTTCCCCCCCAAAAAACAATGCCTTAGCGGCGTCTTTTAATTATCGGGGGCGGTGCGTGTGATTTACTCAGCGAGTTGATGGATTTATGGCAGCCATCTTGTCACCAAAGGAGCTGTGATCGTGGGCGTAGATGATGGCCCATTCCATAGATCATTCGAGGGATGCCTGCGAGGGTGCAGGTTGGATTCTCTGGATCGTGTTTGATGTGACTGCAACACCTGGAAGAATGCATACAATTAGATTTATGATCACATCCGCTGGGAATATTAGTATGTAAAGGCAAAATAGTTTCTAGACCGTGGCAAGTGCCAAAATAAATGGGGAAAAGGAAGTGTATCTTTGTATCTGAAAGCTACATCCCATTGTATATACACAAATTCAATGAATTGCCTTTCAATTTGTTTACAGGTCGTTCTAGTATGTGTGTGCTTGAGCATTTCTGCGAAGAATCTTTTTGGACTTGACTTGATTAAAGGCCATTTCCATTTGGTGGGCTTAATTAAAATGTCGCGCACATTTCCGGTAACTGGTCCGGCTCTCCCGCTCTGATTTTCGTCCAGCGCGTGCCATAAATTAAAAACGGTCCAGAGGCATGATCTCAGAATGTGAATGCTGAGGTTCTTCATCTTTCACGGATTGCATATTTTATTGATTTCGAAAATAGCTTTATGGCCACGGGACACACACAAAACATTTTGGCCAGCACTTTTTTTTATAAGGCCATTAAATGACGAGACTTGCGTCAAGTTTACCTTTTCGTCGAGTGAAAAACTCTTTTCAACTTGTTGCCAGTTTACTTTACGATCCAATTCTATATATATATATATATTGCGCCCTCAAATGCACGTAGTTTAGCCTTAAATGTTCTATGCTATTTTTTGCACAACTCTCCGGCCCTGTCACTCACGTTTTCTCTAGAGGGGGGAAATATAGAGAAAATGGAATCTCTCTCGGCTTTTTGCGCGTTCGAAATTTTCACGGAGCCTAGCGAAAAGTGTTCCAAATTGGTCTGAGTAGTCCGATGTACTGAATGTGCCCAATGCCAATTCCAATTCCCAATGATCGTGTATGATCTCTCTCTCTCTCTTTTCTCCTACACTCTCTCTTTTATTCCTTCTCTCTTTCACTCTGTCTCTCCCACACAATGTCCTACACAATGCGCCGGCGTCGGAACAGAACGACTCAATTTAGTGGGCCCTCGAGTAGCTTCCACTTTTGCCGTTATATTTCCAATGGCGGCATACCCTGTGTGTGTGCAGGGTATATGGGTTCGGGTTGGAAATTCATCGTATCTTCAAGATATTCGTAGGTATAGGTATATCATTCACAGTTTTCAATCATATCTTTATCAATCAATTATATTTAACCTAATTAGACTAGACTAGACTAGAATTAATAATTCTTTAATGTATTGTAAACATAATCTAATTAATTTGTTACTTACATTTTAAAAATGTTCAACTGTTAACTATAATTTTATGATTACATTAACGGTAGGTTCAAATTATCATTATGATATTTATTAAAGAAAATCGAATATGTATATTAATTTTGAAAATTAAATCAAGGTCAAATAAAATTGTGTAAATACATATTTCTTTTAATATATTGTTATTATATTTATTATAAATTTTTGTAAATAAACTGAAGACCGTGTCAGGTATCCCACCAATCTTGCCTTGTACTGTTTGCTGGTCGTTGCCTTTGGCTTCCCGCATCTTTTCGCTTTCAACGGCAGCCTTAATTTTTCACATATGCTCGCCCATACCACCCCCTCTCTCTCTACCTCTGACTTGCCCCGATTATCTCTTACTTCTCTCTTTCTCTCACTCTCTCCCTCTCTCCCTCTCTCTCTGTCTCATCTTTAATTAAAACAGACACAGTTTCTCTCAATATTCTGGTGATCTTTCCAGTCGCATTCAGCCCACATCTGGTGGCTGAGGCAAAACAAAAAATTTAAGAAATTAAAAGCAACAACAAAAAATAAAATGTGTTGTCTCTGTTCTCCGGACTGCCATCCGCCCGCCGCCCGCCCCTGGCCACGCCCACCGTCACGGAGTCGGAGACAAGGGCAAATATTGTTTCGGTTTGCATTTGGTGCTCTATTGTTGACTGCAACATGTGGGCACATCATCAGGCCCGCCGTCTGTGCATCCGAGCATCTTTACCTAAGATCGTGCCACATGTGTTGCACAGACATTGTCGCCGTTTTCCGAGGGGGAAAACGTAAACCGACTCCCGGGCAAGATGGGGTTATTCGAAAATGTTCCTTTTGACTTCCCGGAAGGCAAAAATCGACCGGCAAATCGGAAACTGCCAAAAAGTTTTCCCTCGGCGCACTGGAGGACTGACCTTCACCTCCATCGATCGACAGCGATCGGACAGCTTAGTATATTTCCTGTGCAGTCCGAAAAATTGCCGAAAATAAACAAACACGGTGCAAAGTATTCGCAAAGTATACACACAGCATCCATCCACCCATCCATCCATCTCGAATCGCATCCATTGAACCGGTGGTCAGCTTGCGTCCACTTCGCACGGGTTGAACCCAAGTGACGCACTTGGTAACCCCGCCACCTACCCCGGTGGATTCGATGCCAAGTGGAGACCGGCACGAGTCTGTAATTTCGCACGGTTAGTCCAGTCCAGTCCAGTCAGTCATCCATCCAACCACCCATCCATCCATCCATCCGTCCATTTACCATATGCCACTCAGTACGTGACAGGGAGAAGGTTGGATCTTACTTGGGGCAATGGAGAAAATGTGCAGGAGAAGGTAAAGATTGACTTTTAAAAAGCAACTTTTCAAGAGACTTGGTTTGGAAAATAAAAATGAGATATTTAACTTGAAAATTAAATTAATTTTCGCAATGTTTTAAACAAAGTTAAGAACTTTAGAAATTCATCATGCAACCCCTTATAAAATTTCCATGAATATATTGCAAGCATTAGTATAAAAATATTTCAGGTAAACCTAGTGTCCAAGTAAATTTTCCTTAATAAATAGGTATATAATTTATTCTTCCTATAGATTACTAATAATAATAATATTTACAAGCTATTGTTTACACCGGCAATGTATCTATGGATATAATCATGTATTCTTGGATCACACCGGAGATCGCAATAATACCAGGAATCGAGCGGGTAATCTGTTAAACAATCTTAACCTTAATTATCATTCATGAGTACGATCGCAGATCAGGGAGGAGAGAAGCCAGATCAAACTGAATGATTTCCGAAGGCATCAACAGAACAGTAGCCGGAGCGTAGAGAAGATGGCATCGTAAAGCTTCCCAAATACCAGATACCAGAGAAATATATAAGAATATCTATATAGCATCCATATACACACAGGCCGAAATATATACGGACAAAAAGCAGACAAGTTGAAATGTTTGTTTACGCGGCTAGGAAATACTGCATGTTCCCTCCATCGATGTTAGTTAATAAACAAAGTCCCCCTCCCCAATGTGGAGATGGAAACTAAATTATGAATTTGAATTTGAAATATTCTTTCTCAGCTCTGCCCTGGGCCAGCGCAGTTGTAAAAAGGCAAGTAAATAAATAAATATAAATTAGAATATGTTGGAGAACCCCGTTGGAAAAGTGCTTTCAATTCGAGAGCATGAACCATAACAAAAACTGAAAGCAGATTTCTATGGGGCTTTCAGACCATGTTCCCTGGTACGTTATTGTGTTGGGGATAGTCGTGGCCAGAGATCAGATAATTGAACGATTGACTACACATACACACAGATAGCGAGATAAACGACACAAATTGCTGTGGAACCACAACACAACACAACACACATTTTACACTTTTTGGCCTTTGGGTGAAAAGTCAAATTGCTGCTGTGCGCGGTCAATCAGAAAGTAGACCAAACAAATAATTTGCGCAATTACGCAAAAAGCAAAATAAACCAAAATCAGTGGCTGCACATATGGTTGACTATATAGCGTAGGAATAGCAACAAAACACGCGAGTATATGTATTTTTAAAGACTTACCTCACATCTGTGTGTTGCTCCAAAACACAAAAAAACAAAAAATCGAATAACCAAAAGGCTTCTCTTGCCAAATAGTGGCCTCTGTGTATCCAAAAGTGTCTCTGCCGTGGAATTACCCTCGCTGTTAAATGTAAATATTTCACCAAAAACACAATTGAGAAAGTTCACAGAATTCGAGAATGTTTCCACTTAAAATTCTTGAAATATTTTAGTACGTATTTATGCGGCACTTAGGCACTAAAACAGAAGCAGAAACTGCTGCACACTTGACTCAGCCTCACTCGGTGTCGGTGTGTGTGTTGTGTTTGTACAGTCCGGTATTTCGAATTTCGAATAAATATTAACAATATTATTATTAATGAGCGATATTGATTGACTGGGTGGATGGCTTTTCGCTTCCGATTTTCCTCCGATTTCCTAACTGTAGCGGCATGCAGTCCGATCGCAACTGAGGCCCAACCGCAGCCAACCGGGCGAGCGCTGCAAAATAAATCTCTTCAATTAAATGAGGGAACAAATGAACGAATTCGAATTCATGTTCCCCCATCAGGCCTGGAGAACCACAACAACACAGTACATCTCCGCAATGTATTTTCGCGGCAGCCGCATAAACAAATACAGAAAAATACACACAGAAACCGAACAGAAACGCCAGCCACACATTGTATAATCCGGTGAAGGAATAGGGGGAGAAGGGTCGGGAGCACAGACGGTATAGGGGCTAGGGGCTACACACATGTGTGTTTATATGAGCGGCCTTCCCTTGGAAAGTGAAATGTAATTGAGTGCTGAGCAGACGCGCTCGTTCTAAATTCGTTCAATTGAGTCGAAAGAAGTATCTCAACCTATGGGATTGACACAATATGTTGCATAGTTTTGAGCGCATCGAAAAAAATCATGCATATCATTATGGGGTTGGTAAATCCATAGGAATCTACTTAGATAATCCAGAACTGAGGGATAAGAAAGGGATAGGATTTAACAATGTCATAGGCTTTTAAAAACCTCAGAGATACACTAGATCAAAGCACTTTAAATTGTTAATAATTATGTTAAAGTGTTCTTATACATTACAAACTAAGCCTAAAGCTGAACGGGTGCATTGATCAGTATGTTAATGTTTATACTTTTAACCATTATGTGTTCATTCCCGAAAATGATTCATTTTTATAACATGTGCAATGTAGTTTTGCAGAGAACATAATTATAAGAATAAAATAAACTTATAGTTTATAGTAATGAATATTTATATAAAGTGTATTTTTATGAATAAAATCCCGACTTAGCAGTTAATGCTGATCAATAATATATATGAGTTATAGGGTCGGAAATGACTCCTTCATTAACTTGCAAGCTTCTGACTTAAATAAATAATACCCTGCAAAGGTATCAAAAGTACAATCAATATTAAAAACCCACCAAGATAAATCGTATCATATTTCACTTGCCTTCAAATCCAACTACGAATTCGTTACAAGTTATTAACTTTAATAAATAGATATAAATTTTATATAAGAATCTATACCTTGATACCCTCGTGATACTGTAAGAAAAAACCTTACACACATTTCTTCATGGTTCGTTCAAAAGGTTGAAAGTCGGGAATGGGATTCATTAGACACAACAATACCTCACTAAGTAAGTTAGCAGTTATTAATTATGGGCTACTTATGGTAAATGTGAGATGGCCCAAGGCGGTGGCACAACCAGTAGCTGAAGAGAACTCCATGTGGATGTGGATGAAAGCCACTTTAATGATAGACACTCGAAGAGAAAAGCCATCAAAGCACACACGCTGTGAGCCAAAGACAATGGCATCGTTTAGAGCGTTTAGCGTTTTGTCTCCATGGCGACCTCAAAGGGGTTGACCAAACAATGGACTCTGAGGGGATTTTAGCCGAAAATCGAAAACAATTAACGATTATTGACTATCAATTGTGGCCGAGGGGCCCGTTTTGTGCCAAATGGCGTTACGCCTGACTGATTAATTGATGCCTGCTGCTGCTGCTGCTGCTGATGCCGGGAATGGGAGGATCCCCATGAGTGGTTAGGATAGTTTCAACAGTTAACAACATCGTAAAGCCAGAGATCGGGGAGAGCCGGTGTATGGTCATAATACTTAAATTTTATGCACTCCTGGGCAAAACTCCCTGCTTCCAGCTTCCAGCTCCACAGCTCGCAACTCTTCGGGCTGCCGATTCTCAGCTTCCGTATGGCTTTTCAATTTGGCCAGAACGAAACGCAAGTTGTTAGCGTTTCGAACATAGAAATAAATATTGGAAAATTGGCGCAAAGTCTGGACGCCGATCTTGGAGCCTTTTGCCTCTGGGTATGGGAAATGGGAAATCGGGAATGGAGACCGGCTTTTGGAGACACGATCCCGCGAATGGAGTTGGGCGACACGATCTGCAACGATCTCGCCGAGATCTCGTGCAGAGCAGCCAAACAGCATAAAGTTAATTGCTAATATGATTAATTGCACATTAACATGAATTTTTATAGCCAATTATATACGAAATATGCCAATGGGAAAATGTTTTCGGTCAGCAAAATTTTGTTACCAAAAAAGACAAGCGAGCCAAGATGAGTTTCATTTTTACATATATTAAGAGGAATGCACATTTTGGTTTGAGTTCATCTAATTTGAAATGAAACGATTATTTCCTTTTTATTTAAATTACCTTAGATTTCTTACTATATTCTGCCTACAAAATCATATTTGAATAAAAACCACTTCGGCCATAGATCCTAAACCCGCTTCCAAACCAGACCAATTCATTGGCTGTTGTCGATAATTTATGCATAAACTATGCGTGGCAATTTGGCATCTTCCCAATCTGAGTGGGCTGCCTGGCAAAATTATGCGGGTGTGTTTGCATTGCCACAAGAGCAGCCAATAAATAAATAAATAAATGAAAATGCAATAACCCTCGAGACAGACGGAAAACAAAACAAAACCAAAAATCAAATTTCAAATCACTCAAATACTATTGGAGGAGATTCGAATTTGAATTATTGGCTCCACCTTGCCAGCATTTCCGGTCTTAAATCTTTAAGCGCGTGAGCTAATCATAACTTACAATGTGGTCCGGCAATTTGACAGGCGGGTTTGCTGGCTTACAGCCTGGCTCTGGCTCTTGGCCTGGCCGGGTCCAGTTGGATGCCTGGTCTAAGCTGAGCTGTACTGTGCTGAGGATCATGGATCATGGAAATTGTAACCATCGAAGAGCTCGGGGCTCGGCAAGCTGTGCGAGCTGTCAATGAACTTGTATGCTCTTGATTGATTTATATTGTGCTGGCTAGAGGTATCTCTTTGTATCTGTGGTAAATCAGCTTAACCGTTGATATCTTGCTTGCTTTCGGAGCCCTTTTGGAATCCTCGGAACGAAACCGAAACGAAAACACACAGCCAGAAATCTCGATCTCAGAGTCGGCGAATCTAATGAAAGGTGTATTAATTATATTAGATATCCCAAGCAACACGATCTTCGTTGTTCTTGGCTACTGTTCGATCCGGGCTTAAGGCTTATGGAGACTCTATCTGTTCGTTCTGGCCAAGGGCCTTGGCCTCCGTCTCGGTCTAGGCCATAATTTAAAACGTGCTCTCCGAGAGGAGCAACTTGGGACGGGGACGAGTGGCTAAAACTGGCGCTTAAAAGTGCGTTTAAACAGACCTTTCGGCCGGATTGGGCTTGGCGCTCGGGCGTGGCCTTTTAATATGTTCCTTGAGATTTACTTTTTTTTTGTTCATAGCCTGGTCCCCATAATCCCTAATAATAATCATGTGCTGTAATTGACGATTTATGCTAAGCCCGATATAATTTACGCCGTTGGAAACATTGAGGCCTCACCTCAAACCGTTGAGCAGGAGGCGGAGAAGGAGTATCGCATAAATCATAACTGCACCTGGGATAGCAAAAAAAAGGGGGCAGGTGGGCACTGTCCTGGCTGTGGAGCCGCAGTGGCGGAGTGGGGTGATCACCTGGATCCCTGGGACTACGATCTGAGTGCCTGCTACTGGCCATGGCCCGATGGCTCAACAAATATTTCCCACACACGCCGGCGTCGCTTACAAGGAACATAAGCATGCCTCCCTACACAAGCATACAAGTATGTCGGGCAGGTTACACACAAAGCCAATGCGTTCGCATAAGTCAGTTAAGGTAATGGCCGGCTCATAGCAAGGTGAAGATTTTATACCCTTCCTAGAACTAATTTTATTAAAAAATAAGGGTTTAAATTAATTTTTTTTAGTATATTCGATTAGTTAAAGAATTTACTAAAGCTCTGACTTGCTAGAAAGAAAGTTTCTCTGCCTGTCCTCTGTACTTCTGTATCGAAGTTTAACTACTTCTTTAATTACGTTTATATAGTATAGTCATTGTTTTATATACAATATAACAAATAATGTTTGTTAGTTTCTTTTTAAAAGTTAGTACAATTTTTCAATTTTTTATTGAGAAAAAATTCTACTTTCAAATTAAAAATTTTTTAAAAGAATTCACTGATTTTGTTGTGAAGAAATTTGGGTTCATCTATTTATACATTCAGAAACCTTATTCCCTGATTCCTTTGCCACTTTTTGTAAGCTTAATAAAATCCTCTAACATTTCGTATCCTTCATAGTAAAGCCCACATACCCTTTCCAATCTTAAAGTGTACAAAAAAGTGTTGGCACGCAAATTTATTGTTGTCGGTTGTCGGTCGAACCGCCGATTTGCGATCCATTCCCCAAAAGGCTACCGTATTTGATCTTGCCCTGCTGCTCCATTCTGGTTCCCCCGCAATTACCCGAAGCTGTCAAAGGAGGGACAAGGGGGGTCTCCAGAGGAGGGTAAATCTTTTGGAGCTGCGTGCCAGTGCCAGTTTGTCTGGCATTTGGGCAGGCCTTCCAAAAACGTCGCTGACATAACTGTACCAGCCGGCAAGCGGTCTTGCGTGGTGTGTGGCTTTGCGGGATTCTAGAACCGCGGCTTGGCAGCCCCAGATTTTTGGCTAACGTCGCTGTTTTTGGCATCAAACACATGTCGAAGCACATGAAAGGATCGCAGGCTGTGGACCAGGAATCCGAATCGGTATATGTATCTGAGAAGTGCACAGGAAGAAAAGTTGCCATAGGACAGGAATCGGAATTTAATGTTTGAAATGATGCCGAAGGAACCACAAACTAAGGATACATCATATATTTTGATCATTTTGATCAAGATCATACCATAAAATAAAGAAATGTTTAGTACAGTAGCAAAAGTAAGAAGCGAAAAATATGTTTTAACAAACTTCTACACTTTTCTTCTAAAAAACAATCGAAGACATATCTTAAAACATTATAACCCCAATTTAAATATGAAAGTATTTATATTATTTTTGGTTCTGTGTGGCTGTGAAAATGGCTTTGGCTTTGGTGGACCTGGTCTAAGGCTTTGCATGTTTGG